GGTCTGTTCCTGTCAGCCCTTCTTGCTTCCTTTTATATGATTTTTTGAGGCACATCATCATTTGTTGAAAATTTTCTTAGAAACTCATCAGATTTTTTCCCTCTGTTTCAGGTACTTCTGGGCCGTGGTGATATGGTGAAGTTACTGTGCGATTCGGGTGTTGCCAAATATTGCGAATTTAAGTGTGTGGATCGGTTTTTGAGCGCTTCCGGAAGCACCAATCCCATATCGTTAAAAGTTGTTCCATGTTCTCGCTCCGAAATTTACCAGTCCGACGCGATTTCGTTCGTTTTTTCCCAATTTCTTATTTTTGTGGAAGATCTTTTTTGATATTTTTTAAACCTTTGGAATAGCAAGTGCTAGTATTAATTCTGCCCAGCAAGTACCGGTTTTCATTCGCAGCGAATCTTAGGTCGTCATTAGCCGTTAGCATTTACTTTTACGGATGAGGTGTTCATTTACGAAACGCAATTTTTATACTGTCCATCGCAGTTTTATGAAAATCCAGACTCAAAAACTTTAAGAGGTTTCTGAGTATCAGTTTTCGGTTCAGGAGCTTAAGACATTCTTTCACTCTTATGGTCGATAAATTATTGAGCTTCGTGCCGTTCCAATGTTGTTTTCTCAATATCTTCAAAGAAAACACTTCAGTTTTCAAACGTAAAACAATTAGAAACTGAGTTCAGAAATTTAACATCAATTGCTTCTGATGCCAGAACTCGTAGACCATAGTGATCCAGAGCACGGAGAGCTAATTTGAATACCTGCATTTTTTTTACCGTTTAGCTGCTGTATGTGATTGAGTTAACTCAAAAATGAGTTCCAAACAACTTACTGGCGCAGTGTTTTAGGGTAGTGGAAAAACGGCGTGTGATGAGATTTTTGCAGTGGTGCATCCAGTGGCGACAAAATCCTGATGAGGTTGAAGATATCACAGGTGAAGCTTTTAACTGTTAGATTCTCTTAGAATTGGATCTACTTCGAAATTACTGAACTTTTTGGCTGGTGTGATATTTTCCTTCTCGGCTTGTGTGGTATTTTTTGGCTATTTTGTTACATCTCCTTGCTAAAAATTTTAACTTACAAGTAAATTTTCCATTTCACTGAAGCCCTCCTGCTCCCACTTAATTACCTGTTCCGCAGTCCACTCTGTCCATTTGTTTTTGCATAATTTTGCTTAAGATTCAACTTCGGCGTGCATTGGCGCTTCGAAATTTATAGTCAAATTTTCCATCATTACCAGTTTCGAAAGATCGGTTCTGCTGTATTTTTCCAATCTCAAACAAGGCGGTGGTAAAACGTTCTGAATTTTGAGTATGGTTGATCCGGGGATTAGTGTAGTGGAGAGGAGCAGACACAGATAATTACGGTTTCATCAGTTTCCTTTCCGCCTAGTGGTGTTGTTATGTTTGAAGCATTTGCGGAGCGACCATTCGAGGAATTCTTGGAAATGCATGGTATCCGAAGTGATGGTCTGAAACGTTTGGTGACAAATACATTGGCAATCTTACATCCAAATGCCAAAACTAAGGAGGTTACTTTTTTTTTTTTCAAATGCTTGTTTTGCGTTTTTTTGCATCTGAGCAATGCAAAAACGCATATTGTCGAGGGGTTGTGTGTGTGTGCTTTCATTTCGACACCTACGAAAGCTACATGTCTGAAAATTCGGTACCCTAATGTACACGCATGTACGAACTCCTGTTCCCAAAATGGACGCTCTTGCCGGATCCATGAAAATTTTTGGCGAGTAAGTCTCAGAATACTGGAAAGCTGAAATTTGAAGGAGATGTTTTTTGACATTTGTAGTGGCTGATGCTAGTCTCACTTCTTTTAGTTAGAAGCATCTGCCGGAAAAAATAGCGGTAAATAGCTGTTACCGATAAAAATCTGGGGGGAGGGGGGAGGAACTGTACAAAAAACGCATCTTCGCACCAGCATTCAGTGCGTTGGCCAATTATTTGAAGTTTGGGTGGTGATCAAAAAAATTTCTTATTTTCTTCCTCTAGGTCTTCCGTCTTCCACACCTTTTGAGAATTGTTTTCCTAATAATCTATTTACTAAGACCATGACTCAATAGATTACGCTAACAATTTTGAGGATTTTAGTACCTCATTTTACTTTAGTATCTCTTTTTGCGATAATGGCTTGGTGTCAGGCGATTATCTTTATGTTGACAGCAGCTTCAAATTTTATAATTGATGGAACTGCACACAGATAAAATAACTCAAATTTTTTTAAACAAGGAGAAGTGAGGCAACTTCCAGGAACACTGATATCATGTTTCAGGGATTGATCGCCGTCTGTCAGTTTTTGGAATCAGTGGGACGCTACAGCGATTCACCATTTTTG